GGCATGGCACATCCACCACGCGGTGAAGTGCTGCCGGGGGCAGCGAGCCACGGCCGCAGCCCCTCTCCTGCCCCACAAATCCAGCTGCTGCCTGGACCCAAAACACTTTTCTCCTCCAAAAACTCGGGTTTCTCTCCTGCTGGCTCCCTGTGTCGGCAGCCGGGAGGACGTCTGAAGAGACCATGGGGATGTTTCGCAGCTCCTCTCACCTTCCCCCCAACCCCTCTCCTCCCTGCACGCCTTCCCTCCTGCCCTTCCCGTGTGACACAGCCGGTGGCACATCCCGGTGGGGATGTGTCCCTTTGGGGATTGCTCCCAGCCTGGGGAAGCGCCATCCCCCATGCTAGCACTGCAGAAATGGGGGTTTCAAGGCTGTTAGCAAAAGCAGCTGGTGATTTCAGCTGGCAGAGCAGGGAAAATAATCCCGACGAGGTCTCTCCAGGGGACAGAAAGACAGAGAGCTGCTGCAGGAACAGCACAAACCCCAGAAGAGGATGGAGAGGGGCAAACTGCCGGAGCGGGCGAGTGGAGACAGGAGGGAGCAGGGGGAAGGTCCTTCAGTCTGCTCCTCCAGGCAGCCCTGCAAACCGGGAGGCGTTTGCTGCCCGCTGCCAGCTGGGGTGTGCAGGCAGGAGCCGAGTGCCGAGGTCAGCACCGCACACCCTGCCCGGAGCCCGGCCGGCTGCCCCGAGCTGGGAGCCTTTGGCCTCAGAGGAAGGGGATGGTCTGCATCCCCAAAGAGGGGGGCAGCTGGGAGAGCTCAGTGTCAGTGCTGTGCCACTTTGGCAGCGCTGTGGGAGGGAGATTGCAGAGCACTGGTTTAATTTGAGGTCAGAAAGGAGTTTGTCACTGTTTTCTGCGTTTCATTTTTGCCTTCGGAGGTGAGCAGTGGCGTCAGGGAGAGAAACCGAGGGAGGGAGTTAATTAAACCCTCCCAGCAGGGCGCTCGCTCCCGGCACCCATCCTGCCGTGCGCTCCACAGTGTGCCCAGCCAGGAGGAGCCGGAGCCGGGGACACGGCAGCTGCTGTCCCGTCCTCTCCGTCCTCCTCATCACAGCTCCTCTGCCAGGTGCCTGGGGGCAGGGGGGTCCCTGCCTTGGGGCAGGGGCTGGCTGAAGCTTTTCTGTGCTGGCTCAGCTCAGCCTTGCCCCGAGGAGCAGTCAGGACAGACCCGCCACCGCCTCTTCCAGCAGCAAAGCAGCCAGCGTGCTCCGCCGGAGCGATTCATTAGACGGCAG